AAAATATTTTCTGATTGGGTAAAACCACACGCATAATTCACCATAACCAGCGGCTGAACTGTCATATTGAACCAATGACGTCAAAATGATGTCATCGGTTCAATAATTTGTCATATTGAAACATTGACCAAAGACACCTGGGGACGAGGCTGAGGACAAGATTCGATCTTGAACAAAATAGCGGAACTGTCGGGTGGACATTGTACTCGTTTCACAGCGAAATAATTATTGTCTAAAAACATAGCAAAAACAGCGAGAAGTCAACTCGACGGACAACATCTGCTATTTGGAGTATATTTGCAGACCTGAGCAGACCTTTATCTGCTAAATTTCCCAAAAAAGATGCACTATCAATGTGAACTTAACATCGACCAAGCTAAACATTTTTAGCTTGTTTTTAAAGTTGGAATTATTTTGAATGAATAATAAAGCAATAATTATTGAATTCGGCTATAGCAGGATTTGACGAATTCTGCAGATCTCGGAGGGTGTTATCCTCCTCCACTTTCGAACTTGGTGGATAACACCCTCCTCGATCTGCAGAATTCTTCATATCTTACTCAGCCTCATTCAATAATTGCTAAATATTAAAAAATGGAGAATATTATTTATGGAAAGCAGTTTGACTGTATTCTGTATACTGTAGTGAAGGCAAATGTCTACACTAATGCCACAGAGGATACCTATCAAGGCTATGCATACAGTTTTTAGACTTCGTACCTAGCTTATATCATTATGTAGGATATGTGTTAAGTGGGTTGTGAATATCCCACTCTAAATGGCAAATTTGGCAGGTGGCACCTTATTTATCGTTGTACTGTTTCTCAAAGTCCTAGGAACTCCTCAATAGCGTTTTGCAAGGGGAGGTTCTGCCCCAAGGAGCCTACATTTTTCTGTACCCTGTGAGGGTGTGCCAACAATAGGGACCTTTAGCATCAGGTTTTTCGTGGGAAACGGCAAACCGCAAACCGCAAAATGTCACGTGACCATGGCCTTGCGGTCACAATTGCAGTTTGCAGTTCACGTTTGAACCGCAGGAAGGGCTTCCAGTGGTAAGTGATTTACGGCAAGGTTTTTTGTCACAAAAAATTGTACAGCGCTAGCCTCGCGTTTAAAGGTATGAACTAGCTTTTTGTATCCGTTTGCGATGTGTTTGTTGGATTTTTGATCTCGAATCAATGAATTATTGCTGAGTTTTGGGCGATTAAAGTGATGCACTTCGACTTGATGAAAACAACATGGCGGGGGCTAAACAATGAACGCGTAGTTCAAATCAATTTTATATTCCTTTCTGCCGTACTAACAAAGGAAAGTATTCTGTTCCAATCCCGAGTTAAATTTTTTTTCTATCTTGTTTCTGAATTCATAACTTAACTCAGTCTCTGTTTGGTTCCTATTTTTAACGTATCACTCCGCGAATATCATTTTATTGTGCTTATCTCTTTTAGACTGGGGAGCCCAGGCTTCATAAAGCCTTCTGGTTTCTTCTGGGCTCCCTTGCAACCTTACAATTCCTATATGTATTCTTGTATTGTATTGTATTTTGGCTAAATAAAAATGAACTGTACTGAACTGAACTGAACGCCTTGCTAAAGTTTGAAATCTCGGCAACGCGAAACTGCAAACACGTAACTGCGGTTTGCGGTTTACCTGATGCTAAAGGTCTCTAATAATTTATAGGCTAAACCCAAGGATCATTTTATCAATTTTTTTTATAATGGTTGATGTAATCCAGGCTTTTTAGGGACTAATGTGGGAAAAAAAACATGGATTTAAAATGAGCAAATGGCAGTGCTGGCCTAGTTTATTTTCAGGCATTCATTACCTTTAGAATTTCATAACTTGTATATATATATTTTTTCCTTCCTAAGAATCCTTTTATACACAGATCAAATTGTCGATTACGATTTCCTCGATTTATACCGGTTTTTTAAGTAAAATGAAATACACTGTATGAATTCAAAATTGAATATTCAAGATGGCGGATGGTTTCAGTTCGTTCTCAATAAATGACGTCATAATGCATGGCATCACTGCTTTCGTTACAGATTATTATTGTGTTAGGCAACTTTATGATTTTTAATTTTCGTGAACTGCTTTGTAACTACAAGCACTTCTTACATTAACTCCAAAACCTATTACAAGGTTTAAGTCTTGTGGGCGATTGCCTTCCTGAGTGTGACTACAAAATATACCTAAATGAATACACTCACTTTGCAGATATAGACAACGCAAATCTTCTGGTTCACTATTATGCTCAAAAAATTCAAATTTTACTCCTTTTTTTGAAACTGATCGTCATCATGGTTATCTTATAGTGCTATTTGGCAGGATAACAGTGCCGTTCTTGAAAAATACTACCTCTGTACCCTTATTTTTTGTCATTCTTCAGTGCTTCTTATACCAAATGTTTCTTTCTTGAGTGTTTCCTGTTTTATTCGGGAATTTAGTTTACTCATTCGTAAGGCGCCATAGCGATGACAACGGTCTAGCCACAAAG